CTCCCTCCCTCTCCCTCCCCCCTCCCTCCCCTCTCTATAATATTTTTTAATAAAATCGTTAACTAAGCTGAATTCTCGATAACAACCTAGAATTAGTGAAAAACACACTCTCTTTGTAATTCGGACTTCAAACTTCCGATTAGATACCTATTTCGATTTGTAACATCTAAATGAAGAAATAAGTATGTAAGATTAGCCTAGGGCGAATTTTTACTGTATTATTGTAAGTTTGTTGATTTTGTAAGGGGTTATTTAAAAATTTTGTTATGTATTTCACTGAGAAAGACTTTGTAAGTCGAAACGTTTGAAAAACTTTATAGCATTGTACTTATTTAATTAAAAAAGAATTTGTATTTTATGAATAATTATAATTGCTCGTTTAAAAAAGCCTTGACTTAATTATAATAGACTTATATGTTAGCTTCATCGAAAATGATATTTCAGCTTCATTCGCATATATCTCGCAATTATTCCAATTGACTCTTCTTCTGTTAAGTACTTTTGTTACTCACAATTCTGCATGATGATCCATGCTTGCCCATATACTCCTCCAAAAGCCGATCGATAAAGGAGCAACGATACTCGTAGAGATCAGGGTATCGAGTAATGAAAATGCTCGTTTTTTTCTTCTCGATCGTTTCAAATCCTCCGCTGATTTTTTTATCGGTTTAAACACTTTCTCGAAGAGGCCGGCGTTCCCACAACACTTATGCGATTTTTCTTCCTATGATGCCGTAATTGCAAAATTGATTAAAAAAAGACTAATTACACATAGATGCAGAAAACGGATGTATTTCGGATGGTCTATACAAGATAGTTTCAATTTAACAATGTACATATTTGCTAAGTATCTCGTAAGTTTATGTAAGTTACGTAAGTTTAGAAATTTATTACTAACTCATTTAAAATTTCATTGATTGAAATAAACAGGGTTATCACAATTAAATTCCTTATCCTAAAATTCTATGTAACTTTTCTCTGGTTTCCAAATAAAATTTCATAATTTTCTCTTAAGTTTTCAATATTTTAAAATCTTCTGTATTTTCATCTTGATTTGAAAATTAATCGTTACATATTTTCTTAAGAGAGAGCTAGATTAATTCAACATATAGGCTGTGTTCCAAAATTGACTGCCAATACTAAAAATCTATAATACACGTAATATAAACTGTAGCAGTGCTGGCAATAAATTTGGAACACAGCCAGTAATGTAAATTATTGTTTATGTTACATATTTAATTGTTACGTTAGTAGTATTCCAAAACTGTGCAGGCATATATACGTATATTAAACTTCTTTAAAGTCATAAATTTTAATTTTTCAATAAATTTTGCAAAATTTCCTAACTTTTCCATGATATCTCCAATCGTTGTATAATTCCCTGACAATTAATCACTCCCTGATTTCCTCGATTTCCAATTTAATTTATAGCAACCTGCAGTAGCAACTCTTATAAAATTACACGGTGTAACCTTGGAAATATAAGACATTTTCGTGCACGATACTTATAAATGTATTTACTGTTAAATGTAATATATAATGTGTGTGTGTGTGTGTGTGTGTGTGAGTGTGTGTGTGCGTGTGTGTGTGTATGTGTCTAATTCAGAAATAATTTTTTGAAATATGTAGGTATAAATTTAACTCTGTCATAGAGGTCTATATATACATACTTATACATATAATTTTACCTTGGAACTATTTCGTATATCTTTATCGATAACTGATATCTTATCGTTCTCATACTTGTCATCTGTTTCTTCCGTTTCCGCTTTTCCTGCACTGCAGCTTGCATTAAGCGCAGAAAGATGATCATTTTCATATTTGTCAATCGATGTTAATATAATACTGTCGCATTTAGCATCAATTACATTTAGATTACGTTTCTGCGATATTACTATTTGTTCGGTATTGCTGTTTGAACGAAAATGCGGTGTTTCTATAACAAACTCTTTGTCGTCAGGCAATGGCGAATGTGATTCCGTATCATAGAACATATTTATCCTTACGATTATGTGCTACAAAAAAAAATTCCTTCTTCCAACCATCGTGTATACGTATACGATATGCATATACGTAAACTATTTAAATTTCACAAAATCGATATGATACGAATGAAAACATACGCTAATAAAGAAGATATATACCTAGAACGTAAAACTTACGATTACTTTACCGCGCTCGACTGCACTTTATTGCACTCGTTCGAAAAAGCGAATACAAAAAGACTGGCGCCTTCCATGTTGCGTTAGCTACTTATACTACAGAATATACATACGCGTATATCCTCTAATATATCTTACAAATAAAATATATAAGACATCTGACTAGCTCGATCTTTCACTGTTCCGTCTATCACAACCACGACTTGGTGCCATTTGAATTCATATTTTAAATATAAAATTACAAATATGCCAATATCGTTATTCCTTACAATTATTAATTTCCCACTTCTCTCATTGTTATTACAAAACATATTCTCGACAATGAGAGTGATCAAAAGTGTTTTTTGTTTTTCTTTTTTAAATTTCAAATACAAATCTTCCAAGCGTAATATACTGTTAATTTTAACAGAATTGGGTAAAATACTCAAAAAATTGTATTTAAATTCAAAATATTCTCAAAAAAATATACAAATACAAAATACAAAATACTCTCAATAAAATTAAAATGTATTTAAATAGATATTTTAAATACATATTGTATTTCAAATACTGTTCACTCTTGATATAATACTAGAGATTGTTATTTATCAAATATAAACAAAAACAAAAATGATGCATATCATGAAATGGAACGCACTTTAGATTGAGTCAACAATAGTGCGATTTTAACTTTAATCAAAAAAATTTTTTACATAATTTAAATGTATTTAGTATTTATAAATTTAAAATATAAAATACTAAAAAAAAAGTATTTAAATGCAAAATATAAAATATTCTTTAAAAAAGTATTCAAATACGAAATACAAAAATGTATTCAAATATGTATTTTAAATACATGTCTTTCAAATACTGCCCTTTTTAACGCCATGCCGGGGATACTATATCGTAGCTATTAATATAATTTATCCAAGTATGAGTAATATCCAATATGTCCGAATATTGTCGAGTATTACTTATTATACATATACATGTATGTATAATACTCGACAATATTTTGAAACGTATTATCGCCGGATGATATTGAAACGATACGCAATGTGCAATAATTTAGCGCACAGTTACGTGGCCTATAGATATATTTGATTATATACTGTTCCATTAGCATTCAGGTGTTGTATAAATACGCGTTTTCGCTGTGAATTTCTGTCAGACATCAGTACATCAGACCGAGAAACATAATTCCATATTCAAAGTAACATAATAAGCGATAAGAGGAAAATAAAACGAAAGACTCCATAAATATATAAAATATACATAAGATAATAACATAAATATAAATATAAATTTAATAACATATAAAGTATTAAAAAAAAAAATTAATAATTCATACTCCTTTGCGAATTTAGTTACGAAAACGTAAATAATGCAAGATTATTGCACAATTATCTAGACTAGACTACAATGTATCTAGACTAGAAACGCTGCTTTAATTAATTCTGTATATTGTACATTTTACTGTAATTGCACAAAAAAACCTGAATAATAAAATTACAAACATATTATAAATTTTATTATTGTTATTATTCAAACTCATTTTTCAAAATTCTTTCCTGTAATTTAAAAAGTCAATCTTGTAATTTCCTCGTCATTTGGCATTATCGATTTTGTATTGGAAATAAATTCTTCCCTCTGTAATAATTATTTAAATAAAGCCAGTTTAAAAATTTTTTATTGTAATCCATATAAAGTAATCGGTTAAGCTTACGCTCTCTATAAATTTTTATTACATTTTATTTTATATTTTCCGCAAACAATGTAATAAAGAAATGTTAAATTAAGATTCGATATATCAAGTTTCATTCGTATATTCGTATATTCGTATATTCGTAATATTCAAACTATTCTAGGCCATCTCGTTATTTGTTTGTTAATTGAATTAATATATTTTCATTTATAATTTTATATTATGAAATGTATATACCATACAAAATATTCCGTAAAGCTGACGATTGTGTCAAACTTCACAGGCGTATAGTTGACAATAGTCTCCAATCTGTGTATGTACATACATTTTTAAAATCTAATTTGCCCAAATCTTTTGATTTTGAAAAGTATGAAAACATTAACGTAGAAATTTGTTTGTTTTCCTCTTTTAACACTGTTGAAGTTTGACGCAAATCTTCGTACAGTACTCTTCGTACGTAATTAATGAGACACTTATCAAAAGAAGTTGAGAGCATCAACATGAACAAAATTCATCATTGTTTAAAATGAATAACAAGAATCGTCATATGTATGTACATACATACATACACACATATATGTATACATATTCATTCAAACTGTTGTAACTCAAAAAATGTTGGTTCGTTTTATGAATTAAAATTGTAACATTTAAGTATCCGTGTGGTATAAAAAGAATGAATCTGTTTTTCACAAACTTTTTGATAATAATATCCTTTTATTATATCGCTTTGAAATAGAAATCTCAGCTGAATTTTCTGATATTTCCCAAAATATAAATGTTGAAAAATGTTTACAGATTACTCGTTTCATTCTTTGATGCTACAAAAAGTTGTAATTATTTCGTATATAAGTACATATGTATTAAGTTTTAGTCCAACAATGTGCACAATATAGAAGAAATCTCAGATGATT